GTCTTTCAACCCTGGTTGTGACCACGGTTTTCTTGATAGATTCTTTTTCTTTTATTTTCTTTACAAGGCAGTGCTGTCATGACAGGTCATGGATAAGCCCTGATCTTTCATATAGTTGAATCCTGAAATAACACATGATCAAATGCAGACTCAAGAGTCCATGTTAATTACATAGGGATAGTTTCTCAGTACAACAGAATTTCAGATTTAAAAAAAGGCTATGGCTAGATATAGGATACGAACACAAGAAACTACACCAATGAACACCCAGGCTGCTTTCTGTGAATGACTAGACAGGACCCAGTCCAAAGGCTCAGGAGCAATCTGTTTCTTAGAGCTCAGACACCAGAACTGTACAAGAAACTGTGCTGAATGAGACATGGTTGTTCACTACTGTTGTTAGAAGGAATATGTTTGACATGAACTCTAAACATGAGGAAATCCCGAACTCTAACCCTCTTCCCAGGTTTCCTGTGATAACTGGCAACATACAATGTTCTGACACAACGTACTTTAACCACATCTCGGTGAAAAGAAAATTTAGTGTTGAGATTCCTATTGATAATGGCAGCTGGTTATACTTAACGAAGAAACACAGCTTGTTCTCATTATTCACCACCGACTCTGAGCAGGAAGATAGCATCTTTCATACACTTACAGTTTGGTTCAAAATTAAATTCCTTGGCATCAGAAACACTGAATAACTGAATGTCTGACAAGGTAAAGTAATGTATGAAGGATACAGTCTTTTGAAATTAATCATCCTTAAACATAACAAAACAAAATTGATGGCAAACTAGTCTCCCAGAGACTGTTAATATTCTACCGCAAAGGAAAAATAAAAGGAATTTTAACTAGTATATAACTATACAGAGAATAATCTACTGGGGAAGTGGGGGACGGGAAGGAACTCCACACATTAAAAACATCCCAACTTTTAACATTGACATTGGCAACCCCTCAGCTGATCCTTCACACCTTTGGATTCAGGAAGTCAAAGATGTGTAAAATACAGCAATCCAAAAGCAGCAACAAGGACCCAGGAACATGTGCAGACTTGTCTCAAGATGTCAAAGAGATTAAATCCCAGAATTGTAGGCAGCCAGGGTCAAGGATAAGGGAGTTCACAACTTCAACATGAGTGTCAAGCTTGCTCATCTATTTACTTTCCCCAATTGCCTTTTCTCCTATAGATCTTCTGCAAGAAATGGTCTCTCAACTCTGACCTCAAGCATAGTTTTTGAACTTGTGAAAGCCCATGACACAGTCACGCTCACCAAGATTTGCTCTGCATTGGAGTATACCTTGTGACCTTCCGAGTTATGGAAGACACATAGAAAATGTGTTTCAGACCCAGCCTGCCTAAAATACACCTGTGCCCTAAGGGCTGGCTATTGGCTTCGGAAGTGTCAGTAGGGAGATTATGTACAGAAATTTAGGTGTAGCCTTGGCCGATTATTTTATTGAGAATACAAATTAAAATCTATGAAGTAATAAATTTCACTCTTACTGCAGTAAGACATCTCACTGGATGACTCAGATATTATTTACACTTGTAATTAACTTCTTGCTGGCAACATCACCACATAAAATGAGATACCATTCAACATGTTCAATGCAAGATCATTGTACACCCTAAAATTAAGCATCAAAAATTTAGTTATCCTCAGAATAATTAGATCAAAGTTTCACTGGCACTTAGGACAAGTCTGTGATGTTATAACACTTCAGCTTAATATAGTGACCAATTTAAATTAAACATTTGTTTAACATATTGTTGTGCAACATGGATTCTATAGTAGTTTAGATCTGCAATCTTGGTGTTTTACATTATCTGTAACTTTTCGTTGTCATTTATCTAAACTATGTAAGCATTAAGTCTGCGGGACTATGGCCAGTACACCAAGGTCAAGTCCATTAGGGAAAAAAAAAATCTCTTTATTAACACATTCTTTGAAATGTGCTGTAATTTCCAAACATTCTTCAGGAGTGCAATTCTTTTTTAGTGCCATGAATTTGAATACAGCTACTTGCAAATACTGTATGAGAGCAAAAGTGTTCAAGAACCTCAACAGTTTGCAGTAACAAACCCAGCAGAGGCCTTTGTAACAATGACAGTTACCAGCAATTTTGGATTTGATAACTAATTACATTAAACCAATCTTAATTCTTTTTGACAGCAAAGTAGCAGGCTTTGGAAGATCTGAGAATCACAGAATGACTCAGGCTGGAAGGGACCTCCAGACTCCATCTGGTCCAATCTCCAAAGATGGGCAGATTGCTACACATTCTGAAATTGGTCAGGTTTATTATTTTCGTCTCATATAGAAAATTCATTGGAATACTACAAAATTAACTGGAAAACCATACAAAAATAAACAGCAATAACTCTCTATGAAACTGCTTATTAACTGGGTCTAATTTATATTTATCTGCTATTTTCTGTTGTGGTTCTGAAAGTGGAATCAACAGGACATTTATGAAATCTGAATCATATTGTAAGAACACTGGAAGAGGGATTAAAAGCCAAATTGGTCATGACAAATTAAAAAAGTTATCTGACTAAATTAGAACACCGTAACAATAGTCACATATGAAGGAACAGTCAGCTCTGGGGCTTGCTTAGAAGAAAAATATGAACTAGAAGCAGAACATAGAAGATATCTGTTCCTTTTCTGCGTTATTGGCAAGCTTAACCCAGAATACCATCCCCATTTTGGGCATCACACCTGAATAAACATGTGGACCTAGTGTAGG